AAAACTAATGTGAGTCTGTTAACTCTACAATGTTGGCGTCAATGAGGACAGCGGGACGTCTCTGTGGGCTTTCTCCGGACACACGTGTAGTAAACATATTGTTAGGCCAGGTGGTTAAAGCAAACCACTTAGGTTGTTCTCCAGCACTGACAGCGTGGAGGTGGAGGTGGAGACTCACCGGTGGTACCAGAGGTGTCAGCACCTCTTGTACACTTTGTGCCAAAGTCCGAGGGAACCCGAAGAAGACGGAGATCTCTGAGAAGAAGCTGGTGTGTGTTACAAGTGACTTTTGTCATCAGTTTCACCTATTATGTATGAAAACGTCAACTTTGATTTGAGGATGGTGTTAGTCCACTCCTTTTATGTTGAGTCTTCTTTGTAATATTGGAAATTAAACTCAGGACAAATATGTGTCCAGTTGCCTTCAAAATCACTTCAATTTCATAAGTTATCATGTCTTCCACAAAGTATTATTAAAATAACTATTTCGCATCATGTCACATTTTCAGCATGTCAGACAAAAACAGTCACTTAAAAGGATTTTATTTAAGCCGGAGTGTCAATTCCCTGAATTAAGATCATTGCAAGCAGAAAGTGACCCACCATCAAGCTGTCCCTCCTGGGTGTTAAATCAACAAGTCGCCCGTTAGTCCCCAAAACACCATTAAATGTCTTCTCCCCAGTTTACTACATGGAAAAAAAAAAGTAAAACAATTTAAGGCCAACACCTGCAGTTGCAATGTTTTTGTTTGAATTATATAATATGGTCCAAAAAATCTTGTCAAAGCCTAGTCTTAATATCGCTATCATGTATTACTTGATAACATCCATGCCCTACTGTAGTCTATCCCTTTTTTAAACCATAAAAAAACTCCCAAATTGTGAGTTCAATCCATCTCTGTGTTGTCTTGTATAACTTGCAAAACCGTCAGTGTTTCTTGAAGCTGTCTTATGGGTGTTTTCTTGTTTCGGCCCGCAGACCCGTCACTTTAAAGACCACCGTTGTGTGAAGCTGGTGGCTGGCTCGGGTGGTAGAGGAGCGTGCAGCTTTCACAGCGAGCCCCGAAAGGAGTGGGGCGGACCAGACGGGGGTAATGGAGGAGATGGAGGAAGCATCATTATAAAAGGTCAGATCAGCGCAAGGAATATTGTTCCAATTCTTGCGTGTTTGCCACGCAGTACGTTGCAATTTTTCTCATCCCGTCTTTGGCACCATTTATCAAAACTGTTTTTCTTATTTGTGTGCGTTCAGCTGACCGCGTTGTCAAATCCTTGGCGAGAGTTGTCCCGGTTTACAGAGCAGAGCACGGGCAGTCAGGAGGCAGCAAGAACTGTTATGGCAAGAATGGGAGTCCAACCTATATTTATGTGAGTCCATTCCTTTGATCATACATGACAGGAAGCTTATGAACACTTTTGTAAAATGTCTATCATTAACACTGTTGCATGGCCTAACTTGGATGTTTTCCCACTATGAAGGTACCATTAGGCACAGTGGTGAAAGAAGAGGGAACGACAGTTGTGGACCTTTCTGAGAATGGCCAGGAGTATCTGGCTGTATTTGGAGGGTCCGGGGGGAAAGGTAATCGTTTCTTTTTGTCAAATGAAAACCGGGCACCCATGACAGCAACCCCAGGACTGGAGGGGCAGGAGCGGGTCCTTCATTTGGAGCTCCGTACTATGGCCCATGCTGGACTGGTGAGAAAAGGCCGTTTAAAGTCAAAAATAGTATGTTGCCACTTGCCAACCGACCCCACAAATGGACTGTTTGTTTTCTAACCTTAATTCATCAGGTTGGGTTTCCTAATGCTGGGAAATCCTCATTGTTGAGAGCCATCTCCAATGCCAGGCCTGCTGTTGCTGCTTACCCTTTTACAACACTCAACCCACATGTAGGGATTGTCACATACAGGGATCATGAGCAAGTTGCAGGTAGAGTATTTAAAAAATAACTAATACATATTGTAAATATTATTTCATCTGCATTGTTAGGTTGCATTACTCTAAATATTTCCCAAGTTTAACATATTTGCTTCACTTTTACCTTTCTATATGTAGTTGCTGACATCCCAGGCATCATCAGGGGAGCCCATTTAAATCGAGGCCTTGGAATCTCTTTCCTGCGTCATATAGAGCGCTGTCGTTGTCTCCTCTTTGTTCTGGACATGTCGTCTCCTGAGCCCTGGACCCAGCTCCAGCACCTGCGTTTCGAACTCGACCAGTATGAAGCTGGTCTCTCCCAGCGGCCTCAGGCCATCGTAGCAAACAAAATGGACCTGCCTGAGGCCCAGGAGAAGCTGAAGACTCTAAGGGACCTTGTTAGCCAGCGGGTCATCCCTGTGTCAGCGCTAACAGGACAGAACACAGAGGAGCTCATCCTCCACCTCAGGGAGCTGTATGACGGCTACCTCAGAGAGGAAGACAGTGGTGAAGGCAAACCCACCAGATGATGGAGAAAGCTTTTTCCTCTTGCTCTCATTGACTTTTACATACAATAATATATACATTTATACTGGACAATAGAAAATGTATTTAAAGTTTGTATTGAATAAAAAAAGGAAACTTGAATGTCTGTCTGCTCTTATGAATGCTGGGCAGAATATTGTTCAAAAAATACATTTTGACATATAGCATGCTAAGACAAAGAAAGATTCCCCTTAAAAATGTTTGGAGTATTAAAAGACCTGTTTACGCGCCACATGTAAAGAGAAATTAAGTCCACTGAAGGAAGGATATTTGTGCAAAAAGATACACGGAAGGGGTGCTGGTGGTGCAGTGGTTAGCAGGCTGTAGTTCTCCAAGCAGGTTCCTTTCCTGCATGTCATTGCCCACTCTCGCCCTGATTTCCAACTCTATCCACGGTCCTCTTTGTCTATTAAAAAGGCACAAAATGCCCAAAAATAAATCTTAAAAAAGGAAGTTTGTGAAATAAGTTGAAGATTCACTCGGTAATGAAGCTAACACAATTGCTAAATGAACCAGCAGAGGGCACCTGTAACATCTTTTTAAAGTTGATAACAGACATGTTTTTGAATAAATTGTTGAAAGAGTTATGCAATTGTTGAATTTGTTTTTGTTTTTTTCCTTTTATTATCATTTAATTCTTTCATCATTTAATACATAGGTCATAAAGTCATAACCTTTTTCTGCTTTCAACATTTCCTGTTAAACTTACACACACTCGTAGTGCCTACGCTCCTGTGAAGGTCAAGATAAGTGTGCCATACATTGAAGCAAAACCACAGGAGTGTGACATACACTGAAGCAAAACCACAGGAGTGTGACATACACTGAAGCAAAACCACAGGAGTGTGACATACACTGAAGCAAACCCACAGGAGTGTGACATACACTGAAGCAAAACCACATAGGAGCTCGTAGGCGTATAGCACTTCTGAGTATCTGCTTCGAGCTGAAACCACATATGAACCACGTATTACCTATGTCCTCAACTTGGCATGACCTGTGGATGCATCACGTTTCTGCAAACGTGCATTGTTGAGGTGTTACAGGATCTTGGGAAAAAAAAGAGAGACTTTTTTGGGATAAAAACCCTGTAGAAAATCTGATCGAGGTTCTGAAATCATTTACACCACAAAAGACCGGAGTCTCCCTTAAGGACCACGTGTACCTCGGAAGGTAAGTTTTGAGCAGTCACACCACGGCACACTTGTCTTACTGATTTACATTACACACTTCATACACACCTAACATCCTAGTGAGGGGAGTTCAGTTATTCCCTCTCCGGGGGGTAATCTAGAGTCCTATACCAGGGGTTATCTCTGATCTAATCATTCTAGAAATGAATGTTAGGCAGATAATCCTGGGGCTGTGATTATAACTTGTTCATCTGTACCTCCAAAGGGTGTTAGAGGAGTAATTTTATGTAGCTCCTTCCACTAGGAAAGAGTAGACTAGCAGGTTGGTAGGGAGTGAGCGCTCATTTAGTTCTAGGAAAGAGTAGTCTAGTTAACTAATGTGTGGCGAGCTTCCGTTAGCTATAGTAAAGTTATTCACCCCTTTTTGCATGCAGGACATGCTACAAAATGAATCCTTGTAGAGACCACACTATGACATAAGTAAGTATTGTAATCCTTACTGACTGGCTGTAGTTCAGCTCAAGCAGCAAATTTTGCTCGTTTGATTTACTCAACAGACGCACACCTTTGAACATATAATTCAGCAGGCTGGACACAAAAAGGTTTGTTTTGTTTGAGGCTGAAAAACAACATGCCCTTTGACCCCATGTCAGCATTTACTGGCTTGCTGCTCTTAACTTGCTGCCCAGCCTTACATTTTTTTTCATGGTTGTTGTTTTTTTCCAGCAGCCCCTAGTTGATGTGTTTGTGGTGGAAAGGCTACTGTGGCGTATTAAAGTAATTTGTATAAAAACAAAACTCTTAATGTAAAGGTAGATTTGAGATAATAATATTGTAAGCAGTAATAATGCAGCCAGTTACAAGACAGTGTAAATGAGAGGAATAATAAAACGGAGTCCCCTAACCTGCAAAAGGAAAAACAGCTTGGTAATGTATTCTGGGTAACATAAGCATTAAACACCTGGGAGATGAAATGATTCATATATTTAAGTGGATGGAAGAGAGACACTCAAAGAAAACAATTTAGTTAACAGAAAGGAAGATAATGAATAAGAAAGTTCAAGAATAAATGTTCCGAACCAATCTACAATTTAACTCAAGTTCAGTGGAAACCAGCCACTGTAGTGGTCACTCAGCCTCCTCCCCTCAGGCTGACAACGCCTTTATCGAGCCTGCTGTGTCGCATATTTTCAATCAGTGAACCTTACATGAATGATGTAAGTTTGCTCCATTGACGTTATGACAACTGCTTTATTTAAACTTCAAACTTGACATGAAATGTGATGAAAATGTGTTTCTGAGGGAGCTGGGCTGCTATGATGTTTTTAGATTTTTCTGTGTGATGGATTTGGTGGAAATGTTTGCCCCCTGCCTCTCTCCACAGTTCAGCAGGTGGAAGGAATGGATGAAGAGTGTGAGGAAAGGGCCAGAATCCTGTGGGACTACCTTTGTCTACATCAGCGTCTGGAAAAAGTATGGACTGTCATGTTGAGGATTTATTTATTTTTAAACAGGTTCATAATTATTATATCAATTCACTTTTATTAACAATTTGACTGCACATCATGCACCATGAAAACAGTTTATAGCTGCGTTTTCATATGTTGGCCACTTGGGGCAGACACTTTAAGAAGAAAAAGCCATTAAGTGCCTTCACAAAATTTAAAATATACGGCAGATACACTAGTAACATTATCATGACATTTTAGCTTCTTTAAGAGCAAGAGACCGTTTATTCTGATAACAAAAGAATAAAATTGTCTGCCTAAAATATGTTAATATGTTAAAACTTTTCGACGTAAAGGTTAAGTCTTATTATTAACTTATTATTCGTTGACAGTAACTTTTTGTTCTCAGAGTGATGTAATAATCGGTCAATAATTGGGTGTCATGACCTTCGGGTTGCTGAAAGTTCAGCGGCTCTCTTTTTGAAGAAGAAGAAGATTTACTTTATTGATCCCTGTGAGGGGAAATTTCAGTTTTTACACTCTGTACTCATGCAACACATACATAAGCTGAAGTATATACATATATGCACACACAAACAGGATCATATGGACATGCACTTTTGGAAGGATGGGCTCCTCTGCTGCTCTTCACAGGAAACATGGGCAAGCAGACTGCAGGTTAGTAAGAGCACATGCCTCTTTGTTTATGTTTGTTTGTTTGTTTATTTAAGCAAGAAGCTTAACCAAATGCATAAAACATAAAATATATATCGCCTAAATAAAACGGGGAAATGCAAGCAATTTAAATTGGTTTGTATTGTCATATTGTTATGTATTTTCAGTTTCATGCTCTCTATTGAAACTATGTTAAATTGCATTGTCCCTATTAAATAAATAAATTCAAAGCAAACAGCACTGAGCACATAATTACGCATACATATTTTCATGTCAAAAAGTATGTGATATTGTCTGCCTTAATGAATGATATTCGTAACAGTTAAAAGGATCTAGTTTAATTTGTTCTCTTGGGTTTAGTTCAAGAGAAAAGTTCAACATTTTGATTCCTGGAGCAGCGATATCTGTTCTTACTTTTTTCATGCACACACAAACAATCACATCTTAGATCAGTATTGGGCAGTTTGTATTTTCAATAGGTGTGTGGACTAGACCAGAGGCTGAGGTTTTTCTGGATGTAGCTCTGCGGATGGGGGTTCCCAGGATGAACAGCTTGTTGGAGACTGAAGCCACAAACACTGGGGAGAATATCCGCTTTTCTCATAGAGTCCTCAAGGAGAGGAACATCCCAGGTGGGAGATCACTAGCTGTGCTTGTTAATAAGTGTTAAAGCATTTTTCATAACCCAGGGAGCAGCAGAATATATACACCTGGTTAAATTTGAACCCTTTTCCTCAGTTTTTGTTCTAATTATCTCAATTTAACACAACAGACCCTTTTTCATCTTTTCATTTGTAATATTTGTTGTTTTTCCCACCTTCTCCGCAGTCTCCAAAGTAATCTTGGTGCAGCAGCCCTTCATGGAACGAAGGGTATATGCCACCTTCATGTGTCAGTGGCCTAGGCGGGGGTGAGCTCATAAATGCCATTGTGACTTCAACCCAGTTAAGCAACTTTGATTACTCTCATCCAACTGTCGGCACAGCCTCTGATCTCATCTGTTACATGCTGAGTACGGTCTATCACTTATTCTTTAGTGCCATGTTGGGTGTGAGAGAAATGGACTGGTTGGGCTGGTTACTACCCCAAGTAAACAACTCACACAGTGGTGCTATGACTGCAGGTATCAGTTAAAGTTAGCATGGTGATTTCCCCAGAGGGTTCATGCAGTTATGCTTGTCTTATCACACTATTGCCAGTCAAATGTCACTGCAAATGAAGTACAATAATTCAAGATGTATGGCTTTAAATTGTAATGCATCTTGGATATTAAACTGAAGCTTAAGATCTCCCTTCACATATTTATAAGATCCCCCCCCAAAATTCATCTTTGCTTACAGCCATGAGCAACAAATGAAATCTCAATCAGGCTCAACAAATGACACGCAAATAATGAGTAAGCAAAGTCAAGTTCACTTTCCATGGAGTAGTTAATGATCTTTATGTTAATAAGGTTGGTGTTGCTTCCATTTTAAAGACCTTTCATATATGTATGTATACATACAATCTTAAAACAACAAACAAAAAGTAATTTGGTGTGTAGATCATGGACAATGTAGATTAGCAATATCACTGTTTAACCAAAAGCAGTCAGTGCTCCATAGGAAGTAGACAACATAGGTTGATAATTAATAATTCCATTGATCCCAGGAAATCAACAGGAGCAGACTATCTTGATCCAGTCTTTTTAAAGCTTTCCTCTCTATTTATTACTGAACACATTACTCATATTTGTATTATTTCTATTTCTGCTTGTATACTACCCACCATCTGGAGCAGGGGTGCCCAACCTTTTTTGAACCAAGATCTACTTTTGAAGTTGCCAGTCTGCCAACATCTACCAGTTCACAGTTTACAAACGCATTTAATACGCACACAACAAACAGAAAATAATTCCAGATATAATAAATTACAGTTCTGTGAGTCGCAAGAAATAGTACAATACATTTACTGACACACTTCTTCTTTTATTACTCTAATCTTAGGATTTATCTTATTATTAGGTTTGTATTCATATCAAATCTGTTTTTCCAACAACTTCAATCTGCTCAATTTATCCACTCATGGGCACAGACACAGACACAACGACTACGCCTCGCGTTTTGAAAAGTTCCACTTGATATAACGTTATTTATAGTCCAGCACCGAATCAGCAGCAAGCAGCTGTACATTAAAATGTTTAAAACAAAGTCTGTCTTATTTCTCCGCAGGAGTCGAGACGGAATTTTCTTTTAAACAGGACTTTTGCTCCTCACGGCTCTGTTACCCGTGCGCTCTGTCTCTCTCCCCTGCTATCTCTCTCTCTCTCTCTGTCTCTCTCCCCTGCTCTCTCTCTCTCTCTCTGTCTCTCTCCCCTGCTCTCTCTCTCTCTCTCTGTCTCTCTCCCCTGCTCTCTCTCTCTCTCTCTCTGTCTCTCTGTCTCTCTCTCATTCTCGCTCTCTCGCACACGCAGCAATTTGATGAACAAATTAAAAATGATGATGTTTCTATTTTACAATTGTATTTTATAGTTACTAAACAACTAGCGGTCGACTGCGGTCTACTTGTCGAACGCGATCACCCGGATGGTCACCCCTGATCTGGAGACTGCTCAGGTGACTCCTTTTGTGGGGAGAAGAGAGAAGACAACAGTTACCCTAATAATTGTCTTAAATATCCAAATGATTTTGCAATCACTGGTAAACAACCAACTAAAAAAAAATCTGTCAAATGATTTTCTCCTAAGCCCTCATCAGTCTGGTATCAGAGTGGCCCATGCACAGTACCACCTCTGCTGCCACATTAGTCGTTAATGATATTGTTCCTGAAATGGACAAGAAGAGGCATTATGCTGCTGTTTGTTTGACTTGTCAAAAGCTTTTGATAAGGTTAATCACTGCCTTCTTATTCAGACGCTCTGTAATATTTGGTTTGATTTCACTGCTTGTAAGTGGTTCCAGAACTATATTTCTGATGGGTTACACGGTGTATAGGCTGGAAATATTCAATCTGAGATTCTACCTTGAACAAAATGTGTTCCGCAGGGGTCAGTTCCGGGCCCTGTATTGTTAACAATTTATATCAATAATATTTCCTCCCATATAACTGACTGATTGTATTTTGTATGACCAAGGTGGTTGGTCTACTTTGGCCCAGAGGTGGGATAAACACCGGTTTCTACCCATTATTGGACATACCCCATCTTATATCATTTCTGTGCTGAACTGGTCCACTGGAACCTAACCCTACTCGCTCTACTGACTGTCTAATGTTCCTCGGGTTCATTCTGAAATAGAAAAATAAATCTTTTGCTTTTTTTTTGCTTCAAACATGTGGAATCTTTTACAAAAGCGACACTCGTCTTTCTCTGAAACAAATCCGATCAGTTATCTCAAATCGTTTCCCCTCGGTGTGATCGTTTTCTCTAAATACAGTTTTTTATTATAGTATATTCTAAATATTTTTTGCAGTTGCTATTGTGAGTGTTTTGTCACAAGCTTTTAAAAAGTTGACACATACACTCACACAAGACACACATATACACACACCTTTTTATTTTTATCTCCACACAAACAAAACAACAAAAAACTGGCTTGACAAGCTGTCAGATGGTGGTTGAAGTTACCATGGAATTATAGCTCATCTGTAGCATCAGTTATTATCTTTCTTCCTTGGAAGTGTGATGTTTACAGAGAGACACACCTACCTTTCTGGCAGTCATGTACAAACACAGAGGGGATTTTGGCTCGCATTAAATGTCAGCGTTTTCAAAAGCCTGAGAACTTGTAATGGACAGTTTGTAGTTGACAGGCTTGTTTGTTATTATGTAACTACAGCAAAGGCTAAAACATTGCATGAAAAACTTTCCAAAAAAATAAACCTTAAAAATACCCTGCAAATAAAAGAATAAACCTCCATCCGTTCCTACGTAGGAATATTCAATGTGACCCGTAGTAAAATAAATATCTCAAACATCTTATGTTATTCTCTGTGAAAGCAACATTTGTATATAAAAAGAAAAGAAAGTTTTATCGATGTTTTTGTTGTGGTTCTTTCCGTGTAACTAAAGAGTAAAACACAGCTGATTAACAGCTCTAATCCCTCGTCATTTTTTTGTCTCAATACACAGTGTTATACTAAAAAATACTGCAAATGCATGGACTTTAATCAGTTGGCCATAGGCTTCATTGCCACTGTTTGAACTAATTCTGCTAAAGATAGTGACCTCGCCAATACTTTTTTAATTAAAAATCTTAAAGCTTAAAAGTCACATTTTGACGTTTATCTAACATTCCCAAAAGACTTTGTTTTAATTACAAACATTCCATCGTCTCATACCATGGCCCTGCCCTACTGCACACTCAACCACATAATTATCTATGGTTAATGAATGTGTTTGTACTGATGTTTGCTTCATGTGATGCAACGCAGTAAATGTGGAATATGTAGCAGAACGTATCTTTTGATAGAGTTATCAAAGAATGAAGTTGATGAATGGATTAGTCAAGATTAGTATTTAACAAAGACCTTTTGTGTATTCTATGTTTAAAAACAAACAATTGTAACTGAAAAGTAATGTGATAGGCAGCCATTTCTCCATTCGGGTTGTTGCTTTTCTTTTACTCTATACATTCATATCAAGTTTTCTATGTGAGCTTTAAAAAGATTTCTAGAGAATTTAATCGCCTAGCTCAGAATCAACAATGTCATACTTAATACATTTCTCTTACCCCAACAACTGACTTTGAAAGAACAGTGATTATCATAAAGTAATGAACTGTAGAAGTTGCTCTCAGTATTGCTGTCTCAAGTTTGGCCATTGCTCTAGAGATCTGTGCGACTAGTATTTTTATGTGGAATGCAGATTGAGGCCAGATGAACAAATCTTGAGTCCAGCTCCATGTCAGGGTCAAAGGGTATATCAGGGATTGAGATGGCATCAAGAACATCGTTGGGCTCTGTGTTTTGCTCCTCCTCAGCATACGCATGAGGAGCATAATCAACCAGCTCCTCTCCTGGTGCTTGCAGAGTGTACAACTTCTGTAGTGGGGGGCAGGGGGGGGGGAGCGGAATTATACTGTAAAAAAGAAACTTAACAGACAAGCTTTGTGGGTTTGATTCAAATATTATTTTTCTTACCTTTTTTATCACTTTAGGCAGAATTTCCCTTTGAATTGTAACACTGGTTTGTTCTGCAAAATGTTTCGATTGTCGCCATGAACTCTGGGAAATCAGAAGCATGGATTATAATAGTGGCACACTCAATAACTACAGGAGTCTTAGCAGGCTTTACAGTTAAACTTTAGGAAAAACAGGGAATGATATACGCACCCTGTGCATTGAGGTGTTCTTCTGCTGTCTTGTTCTCATTGATGATGACGCCCCCATGGACTAAAAAAAATATACATTCAGTGAGGAAAACTGGACACTGAGTCAACTTTGGAACTTTCATAAAATGCTGCATTATTAATTTAGCAGAAAGACGGTGCGTGTGTGATCGACTATCTGAAGATTGATCAGTTGTTGGTTGTGGTCTTTGTAATCATGAATGAAAAATAGAAAAAACAATTAAAACGTAAAGATTTCTGTACATAGTTTGGTTGCTGTTGTAGTGTTCCAGTTTGGGCTCTGGCCTGCTGGGCTCGTGACACTGAAGAAGTTCTTGCCTTAATCATTGGTTGTGGGAAAAAAAAATACCAATCAAATTTTGACTAGGTAAAAATAATAATAATACAAATAGGTAGAAAAGCAAAATGGTATCAGCGGATATTAGTCATAATTTGTACAAAATCAATAAAAACAACATTTAAACATCATTAAAATCTTGTTTTAATGTTATTGTATTTTTAAAAAACTTACTTGTGGTGCACTACTTGTTTTGACTTGAGATTTTCTTTTGATTTTCTCCTCATTTTGACTCTTCACTTTGTGTGACTTCACCTGTTGAATAATTTAACAAACTATGAAGCTTAATGCAACAAGTCAGCGTTATTTTTCATTATTTGTCTGTACAGTTAATCGCACGCACATACA